ACTCTTGAGAGAGTAGGTGAAATGATTTTTAATTTAAAAACGAATTACACAAATAAAATGTTACAATGTTACCTGTAATTTGTACTGTTTATTTACCTTTCATACTTATTTTTAAAAATTAATTTCCTCTACAAATACTTAAGTGTCTGCTTAGGCCAAGGCTTGCTGTTAGATACCGTAAGGAATATAATCCCTGCATATAGAGGGGCTCCCTTCCCTGTTCTGTGGGACAATGATGGACACACATTACACATGTGAATGAGATGTGGGGCAGGGAAGTTCTGGCTGTGGCTTGGCTATTGAAGCAATTTTCACTTTTCAGACCTTTCCTGGGAATCTTGTTGATGTGAATATAGTCCAGATGGGTCCGCATGGCAGTAGCAGCTGGGGACAAAAGTGGGTCCTCCGAAGTTCAATCACCAGCAAGAATAATTTTTGGTAAAACTAAGAAATAAATTAGATTCTGTTGTGTTAGTTGTGAAACATGGCCAGTCTCTGCTAATAGGGACACTAACTATGCTGTCCATCTCTTCTGAAGATGCACTGCTTTCTCCTCTGCCCTAACTCTAATTATTACTAACTCTGCCCAACTTTACCATCTAAATATTCTTAGAACTCTTCCTGTCTTTCATCCGTCTTTGAAATCTGCATCATTTGTTACCTGGACGACTAACCATAATCACTTGCTATTTGGCCATAGTTTTGTCCACTCTTAAATGTATCCTCTATGATATAACAGGATTGATCCATATTAAATGAAATATGCCCACAGCCAGAACCCATCACTGATAGAATCAAGTTCTCTGAGCAAGTTCTCAGCAGCAAAATAATCTAGGATCTCTCTAAGTCTTCAGCGCAGCTCATGACTATGCATGCTCCCAACAAACCGTCTGGGTCTGGTGATGCTGAACTGCCTCTCCTTCCCTGATCACAGCAGACTGTCCCCTGTCTTCTGTCTGCCCTCCCTCCCTTCCTTCTTCACTATGCTAGCTCCCACTCTTTTCCCAGAAATCCTTCCCTGAACCCCGGGCTGGGTTTCAATTCCCTCTTTGAATCCTGTGCTTTGTGGCCATCACCATGGGATCTACCATCTTGTATTCAAATGTTTTTGTCTCTGTGTGTGCATCTCCCACTGGACTGAAAGCTCCTCAGGAGACCAGCACAGGAAGCCTTTGCCGAGTAGCAGCCCCCTGCCTCTCACCCAGAGACCAGATGTCACCTCTCAGAAGAGCCATCTCCCATCACCTGACACACCGCCACTTGGTTCACCCTCCTTTTTGTTGGTCACTTACCACTTTGTGGTATTTCTTGTTTACTTGAATGTTTGCTAAGAGTTTGTCTTCACTAGAGTCTGAACTGTTGGAGAGCTGAGACCTTCTTGCTTTGTATCACCGCTGCCTAGAAAAGTGCCTGATATATGGTAGAACTTCAATAAATATGTATTTTTCAAAACAGAAGTAATGAAGGAGGATTGATGGATGGATGGGCACATAGTAAAAAGATCGGTGAATTAGTTCAAACTGAGAATTAGCCTACCCTTACTAGATGAGCAGTGTATAGGCCAGTAATGGTAGCAGATTAATTTTTATAACACCTTAGGGCACACAGACTACCACAAAACCTCAGTATTTACTTCTGTGAGTCACTGCCATAGACTGTCACCTTTTGTTTTATGTAGCCTGGTTTGTGTAAGCTCTGTCATATCCTCATGCCACAAGTGACATTCTATACAGTTCCTTGGTGTTAATTCTCCTCTCCTCTTTCCTAGCATGTGTAAGTACACAGCGCCCGTATAAAGTCATAGCAGAAGAAAAAGATCCAGAATCACTCAACTTTTCACTCTCTTAATTGACATAATTTTCTGTTTGTGAAGTAAAGCATTTGGCTTCAATTCCATACTCATGTTTTCAAGCTTAACTTCCCTCCTCAAAAAGGTTCTCTTTCAAGAATAGGCATGATAGCTTTTTGTCCTTTAAAGTAGTACTTTGATGGTATGAGGAAACCACGTGGATGCACTTTTCAGACTTCAGAATGCTCATCTAATATTGCATCTTCATTAGTTATTATTTCATGTCTCTTCCCTCATTTACTGGTAGTGTTGGCAATATATATCTCCGTATTATCTTTCTTTTAAGCATCTAATTTTTCACTGCTTAAGGTCACTTAATCTTAGGTGTATAATCATTTGCATTCTGAATTGCAACTCCTTCATTAGTTTTTATAACTGTTGAATGTAATGGGACATTGGGGAAGTGGATACCACAGGCAAAAGGAAATTGGATTTTGAACCTTTTATGATGATGACATCCATTCGATAGTGATCTGAATGATTAGTGAAGAAAAGCTGCTGTTGTGACAACTTTCCAGTATGAAAGAAAGTACAGGGCTTGGATTTGCATATTAGTTTAATATTCAGAAAAAAATAAAGACCTCAGTGCCAACAAGCATCACATATTTATTAAACTCCTCCTGTGCACAAACCACCATGAGCCTCTAAGGATGCAGCACTGTAAAACACCCAGCCCCTGTTGCAAGGGAGCTGGTGGGCCAAGACCGGAGTATGCTAAAAAGAAACGTGTACGGGGCTTTACTGAACCAGCTCATTATTTTTTAGGTTTCAAAGGCAAAACTCTTTTTACCTTTTATTACCTCAGGGTTGTGGATTAGGTGACTATTTAAAATGAGAAAAACTGAGGACCACTTACCAGTAAGGAAGTAAAGTGACACTTCACAGAGTCAAGAACCCCACGCAGAGTCCTATTCCCTCTGGTCGGGCTTTACTGACTGGCAATGTACAGGCTGTGAGTGAATGTGGTAGACTCTTATTAGGAAAAAAATGTGGAATTGAGGAATGATAAGGAAATAGTCATAAATTTGACATCACGGTCGTGAGATAGCTCAAGTGATGATACTTTGTAAACTCTGAAGGCCTATAAAAATATAGCATGTCACTATTTATTTTTTGAATTATGTTTTGTTTGAATGAATGTCTAGTGAGGGCATGGAAAAGACTGGGGGCCTTATGGTAGGGTAAAAAAAATATGCAAAATATAGGTAATAAATCGCTCACTGGTATTTGATGTACACAATTACATAACAGTTCCTGGCCATTGTATTTGCTGATATTTTAGCTAATCAGGAGAGTTTAGTAGGTTAAGAATACTGATAAAGTAGACTTAGTGAATAATGCTGGTTTGAGGTCTAATCTCTCTTTTAAAATGGTTACAAATTCGGTGAGGTTACCAGTTCAGCATAAGGCCTTTAGAAGTACAAGTACACAGTATAGAGTTCTTTCTAAGGCTATTATGCAGTTTAATTAATCAAAGCTGGTTCTCTAGCTCTGCCATTCTACTGACTGGCCTACAATAAATGGCCTCCTGCCTACTGCAGTTTCCCATCCAAACGTTGTACAGATCAAGGACAAGGATACTTGAGAATCCTTTAATGGCAATATTCTTAAAAAGCCAGCCTCCTGCAGTTGTTTAAAATCATAATGTCATCATGAAAGTTTCATAGTGCTTTTTATGAAGTCTGTAAAGATCTTCAAAGTTTTAAAGTTTAAAATGGAAAGCAAAACAAGAATCCAAAGACTAAACATTCAAACTTTCAATGTTAATGTTTCTGGATTGTGAAAATCAGATTATCTGATACTAATACTGCAGTTCTAAAAATGAATGGCTTCTTTATATAATGACTTCCCAGTAATATAGTACACCTTCATGAAGGTGTATGATTTATTAATTGTCAATAACAAAGATACAATTTTTGCTGTATTAATGTCATCTTTACTAATAAAGCATCTACTAAGATGCTTACCTTCCCACATATTTTCATTCTTTTATAAAAAGTGTTTAAAGGTTTTAAAGCTATTGGATAAATGTTAGAAAGAAATGGCTTAGAGCTATTATTTATGCATAGAACAGAAAAAAGAAGCATGTTTATTAAGCTTAATGGAAAATGGTTACCAATGAGAAACATCTTTGTAACTTTTTAAAATATCATAATCCAGCTGCAAAATTCTTCCTCTCCTATTTCAACCTCAATCTGAGTGTAAACTTTACTGACAAAAGTTGTATTTCAATAGTAATTAAAATCTAAAATGTGCTTGGCAGCCACTAGTCAAGTTGACTTATATACACTGAAATTTAATAATGGGAAGGAGCTTCTGTCATATTTTTAGGAATTCAGATAAATTATTATAGCATGTTTTATAATATCATATTCATTATATAAATCTAATTTAGTAAATAGTTGAAAGTAGTGTATGAATAAAATTAAGAAAATTAGATATTCCTTTTCATTATAGTATTACTTCTGAATTTTCAAAACTGAACTTAAAGTAAATGTACTTTGTGGTGAAATCTTATGAAATAATTAAGACATTCAAATTATATATACTCTTTAGATGGACTTAACTCCCTTTCTAATTTTAAAATCTAAGCACTAAAAATCTAAAATTTTTATATCTGATTTTAGTATCTGAGTACATATCATTTAAGTATATTATGGTTTAATCTTAGAATTTAAATTTTTTATTAACTTTTTCTGAAGTTCCCAAGTCACAAATTCAAAGGAAAATAAAAGAAGTAAGTTAAAACATTTAAGTGCAGGATACCTTTCTTAGAGTTGTGAATTTTAAATAAAAATATTAGATATATAAATATTTTTATATCTTGATGTGTTGATTAGTACCCATAAGGCATGTATAATGTCAGAGAATTTCCCTACTTACTTTGTAAAAATAATTCAGTATTTCTATTACTGATACTAAACTGTCTGTTCAAGTGCCACTCCCAAAGCAGAGGAAGAAGAGAGTGTCATGAGCAGCAAGAATGATCTCCATGTAGTGATCAGTGACAGATCTGTAAAGAAATGGGCCTTAAATGTCATGATGGTACAAGTTAAAGTCATTTAAAAAGTCTCTCTCACTGAATCTAACAGCCACATTTTGAATATGGATTATTTGTAATACGTTCACATTTTTTCTGATTTGTTCCCAGAATGTTCAGGTCCATTGGGAATTGAAGGTGGAATCATATCAAATCAGCAAATCACAGCTTCATCTACTCACCGAGCTCTTTTCGGACTCCAGAAATGGTATCCATACTATGCACGTCTTAACAAGAAGGGGCTTATAAATGCATGGACAGCTGCAGAAAATGACAGATGGCCATGGATTCAGGTAACAGATGGGATGGGACAAGGCTACTGCCCACAGATGACTAGAATCATTTCAGAAAGAAGGCAAGTGAGAGCCCACGGTGTGACTTTATTTCATGGTCACAGAGGAAAGGATGATTTAGTTGAGTCTGAATTGTCTATAAACTATGAAACTTGGATATGTGCATATTCCATTGGAAAGTGTGTTAAGAAGGTTAGAAATGCTAAAATTCCTGGGCTATAAATGTCATTATTTAAGGTACATGTCCAGAAGGTGTTTATATATGCCTTGTGTTTAATAGCACTGTGTTCACATTTAGCAGCAACTCTGACACTTGAAGAAAATTTAAATTGTATCTTTGCCTTCTCTGTTTCAGAACTAGTTTCACATTTACAAATATAAAATACACAATAGATTATAATATAATGTCTTTAGCAACTTTTTTCAATAGCTGAAGCTGTTTCAGTTCATACCCTTCTATTCATTATCATCAGCCAGCTATTTTTTTTTAAACAGGATAAAACAATGATATACTAAGATACTAACTGATTTCCTTAAAATGGGATGGATGGTAGTATTGCCAGCACCTTGTATTTTATCTAGTTAAATGATTTTGGAGCATTTATCTGAAGTGAGATAGTAAACTACATTTTAAGAGGACAGAAAAGGTGATCGAACGATGGTTTCTGTGAAAGATTATACCTCTGTTAGGGGAGCACATTAATAACATCTAACGAGCCACTGATGTGAGCTGCAGGCAAGGAAAATCCAGTATGCAGTGAGGTCAGGGGAAGAAGTGATTAATTACCATGGGAAAGCCTCATGAGGAGATAGCGCTTGAGATGGGCCTTGGAAAGTGACTTTCAGTAGAAACCGGAAGCCAAGACTAACAGCATGATCAAAGATGCTCAGTGAACACTGGGGACATCATAGAGAAAATCATGATTTGTGTATAGTTTGTTGGAGGAATGTATTCAAATTTCCTGTGCCCTAGGATTCATACGTTCTAAAAGGTTTCCACCCTATTCCACTGGAATAGGGAGCTATTACAGGATTTTGTGTTTAGGTAGTTTATCTATTCAGTTTGACTATCATCTTTTGAGTCAGAGGTAATTTTTAACATGTTTAAGCCATCATGTGATATTATTGGTGATAGTGTGAAACTATCTACAGGTACTGACTAGAAAAGGAAGTTGATTTATTTCCAAGTAACATGACTTCAAACCTTAGGAGCCAGGCCAGACTCTCCTTTAGGTATTTCCTTGCTCAGATTTTTTATTAACTATTACATATTATCATATATACATTTCTTTTATCTGTATGTCTCCATGTGGTTACCTGATAGTCTTGTTTTTTGTTTTATGAATCTATATTTGCATGCATTTGCTGAAACTGCTTCTTAAATGATTTTTCTAATTAATAGCCACATGTGCAAAGAGAATTTCATGTAGTGGAAATGGCACATCTATACAGTTTTGATTATATACTTATGAAGATCCAATTAAGGCTTAAAATAGATGCCGAACAACAAAATGCTTAACTCTATTTATTAAAAATTATTCCAGAAACCATTTTTTTTAAATCATCCTAGTTGGCTATTAGGAAATGCATATGTGGAATTTTGGTCACAATACAACTTTAGACATTAAGAATCACAGCAGAAGTTGCAGAACAGTTGAGAGACAATGTTGCAAATTTATTTGAGGGCTTCTGTTTGGCAAATTATTTTTGTGAGTTTCAATGATTGCCATGTTTTGATAAGACATAAATAACAGACTTCTTGCAATGTTTTCTCTGAGAAATACCTTATTAATATTTTAAGTCCTGAGTTTTCAAAGTATGCATGAACTTTAAGTTCTTTTTATCCCAGTGATTATAGTTAGAAATAACCTCAATGGAACAGGACATTGGTTGACTCTTAGAGGAATTTAGATTAAGTATAACTTTAGCAACTCAGGTAGAATAATTAAATACTTTATACTTTTAAGGCAGTCTATCATTATACTATTGTTATTTAAAATTATTATTTTCATTTAGTCGTAAGACGATCCTGAACTCTTAGATAAAAACAATACAAGTAAATAAAGAAGGTTTTATATTAGATGAAGAAATCTTGCATAAAATGGGAGAAAAACTGAGAACTCAACTTTGTCATTCAGTAAATACTTCATGGTTGTGTTCAGATTACATATTATGTTATTATATTCTCTAATAATATCTTACTTTCTGAGTTATATTTCTAAAAAGAAAAGTTTATCCTTTCTTAAAGGAATATCATATCAAAGAGGCTATCGGAAGTCTAATCATGTACCAAATTTTCTGTTTGAGCATTATTAATTTCCCTTGTCACTTAATTCTTTTATTTATATTCAGTCCTTCAAATGAAACATTTGAGTACTTTCCTTAAACTCACTTATAATGAGCACAACATTCCCCTAATCCTTCAGGTGTATGACACACAGGTACTAGTTAGTATTCAATTTCGTTTTCTTTCTTGTCTTGATGAAGTAATAAAATTAAAATTGCCATTTTAAATTTACACACTCAGCATGCAATTATTTATAGCACCACAATGTTCATAATTGGTCCTGGATATAAAAGGTTAGTGCAGTAAATACAGTTTAAAAAAGCCCTTTTTCCCCTTTTCAAGTTTTTCTTTTATTCCTTACCTAGATATTTTTCCAACTAATAAATAACCACCACATGAAACACTGACTAGTTCATTAGCATTCTGGAATGTGGAATTCTGTTTCTGACTGATGTGTTAGCAACAGCAACACTGCACAATTATGGAAATATGTCTGGAGTTATCTCATATAAAAATGTAAAAGCTTATTTAACATTCTGAGTACTTTGCTAACTGACTAAGGTCAGTCAGGATGACTGTTCCTTATTTTTAATGGGAATTATTTTATGTTCAGATTATTTTTCTTATCTTTTATAACTACATGTAGTAAAATATTTTTATTTTAATTTCTGAAGTGATTTGATGTTATGTATATACATTCTTTCTACAATGCTTATACATTGTATTCCTAGCTATTTGTTTATTCATTCATGCAACAGACATTTACTAAATGAATGTCTATTCCGTGGTGCCTAGTAGGCACTAGAAGAAAGGCAGCGCTTGCCTTCAAGATACTCTCAATCTAGAATACAGAAAAGTAAACAGGGTAAACATAAAAATATAACATACGTAGCCTGGTTTTACATCATCTGCAAATATTTCATTTGAACCATTATATTTTATTATATGCAAACAACCTAATTTAATAAAACTTTTGTTTAACTAAAAACTAGTTTAGATAATATCTATAGACTATGAAAGGAGAGAAGTTGCCATTACACTGTACTACATAGACTATATTATTACATCTGATCTGTTTGTTCCTAGTGTGTTCATTTTTTTATCCCACAGAATTTATAGAGGGAAGAGATAGTTACTTCTCAACCTTTAATGTGCGCAGGAGTCATATGGGTCCGTGGGTAAAAATGAAAATTTCTGGATTGCCCCACAGACCTCCTGCAGGTCATCCTCAGACTGCTGTGAAAGCATGTCTCATTAGCTTATCAAACCTGGATTGTACTACCGAAGATACATAAAAAATCAGTGAATAAAATTTAACTGACACTTTTGCCTTATGGTCTGGGCACTTTGTTGTTGGGACTGCAAGTAGTGGTAACTACATGGGTAGAAGGAGAGAAAGAACTCCCAGAAAAGTGAGGAAAGACAGTAGCAAATATGTGACCCACAGAGAGTCTCTACACTAGATGAAGGCAGAACTACATTACATATCCGAGTCAGACATGTTTCCCAGCTTTCACAGAAATTCATGATTAAGCATTATTCCTTAGTCATAACGATTTTAAGTATTTTCAACAGTTAACCTGTTGAAAATACTTAAATAGCTATAGATTCTTTGTTGTTAGACAATTTAAAAAATTTCCCAAAGCAAGGTCATCTGACTTTTGCATTTTAAACAAAATAATAGTTAATGTAGGCTACTAGGACCAAAATAGAGGTATGTGAGCACAAACTCAGTTACAAAGTCACATTTCTGGAGTGTGCATTCCACATGTGGCTGTTTGGGTTTTTGGGTTTTTTTTACTTTGTGAATAGTGGGATCAAAAATGCTACAAAAAAAAATAGAGTATCATCTATTTCATTTCAAAAGCCTGCATATAATATGTCTGAAAACTCTCTTGTACTTACAAGCATCTGGAGCTCCTTGAGACACAAAAAACATTTTTAAAAACACAGATTTTAAGAAGTAAATTTTTCTTTCATTTTCAGGTTTTTTTCTAGGTAAAGAACCTGAATTAGACTCTAATCCATCTTTACTACTTCCTCATTCAAGTAGAAAATGTCTGTTTTCTTCCCTGAAAAAAGCTACATTCTCAGATACTCTCCCATTCATGGTAAATACCTCTCCAAGGCTATTTATATTTAGACATTAATATATTGCTTCTCCTAATTATGTTTTTTAAATAAACAAACAGTAAGCATAGATGGAAAATTACTATTTTTCTTTAAGTTGTTTATTGGAAGTGAGCTTTCCATATATAGCTGTGTGTAAAAAGTCATTTTTACTTTTAAAGACAAAAAAGTACCTAACATTAAGTAAAAATAACTAGATATACCTGTACTAAAGCATTTATACTAACACTAGTGCATATTGCTTGCTGATTAGCTTTAAGGGATATGTGCTGGCTCTTCACTCCAGATTCTATGGGCTACCGAATATGTGATTAACCACACATAGCAGTTGTTCTCTTATTTAAAAGAAGCTGTATCTGCAGTCTTTTCTCTTTCCTCTCTGACTCTGAGCACCTAAGACCCCACTGACCTGTATTTCTTGCTGTTCCTAAACATTAGCTGGATGTTTTCTGCTTCTGTGCTTAGGTGCATATACTTTATGGCTCATCCATCAACACTCTTCTCTATCAGCCTTCTTTAGATTTAGCTCCTTGGGTTCCTTCTCTATGAAGTGATTCCTGAAGTTTATGCTTTTTATCTCCAG